AAGCATTGCCATATGCCAGACAAGAATATCAATGACTAATGCGTGTGAAAGGATGAGAACCATAGACTTCTATATATACTACTAGACTATTAACTCTTTTGAAAAAGTGGGTCCAATTTCTTATACGCATGCGTATAAAAAGGGTATTACACAGCGTGACCACGTTTACATATGCGCACACATACGTATTTTGACAGGTTAACCTAATTTAACAGTATTAAAACTAATAAATACTTGTTTTTAATTGAGCGCTTAAAGTCAAAAATAAAAATTATTTTATTTTTTTAAATATAATATATAATAAAAATTGTAATATAAGAGCACTTTAAGTATACATTGAAAAATATTTGCAGATTCTCATTTCTGCAAAATTAAACAATAATTCTTACTGGAAAAAACCTAGCTTGTCTATACTTTGTGTACTGGAACAAGTTGAGAAGACACTTTGCTGGCATTGCAATTGACAATTTGAAAATTATATTAACGGAATCTCACATCAAGGAAGGTCATGTTTGTTACAAGCGTACACAGCTACCGCAGAACGTAGCTATATTGCATTCTTTCGGTATATATCACGACGCATGCGCAGAGAACCACTGTACAAATTCGGATCCCATTTTACCATGGCTTGTACTAAGGAGTTAGCAGTCTAGTAGTATACAGGATGTATATGAAGTCCCGGACCCATTAAATATCTTGAAAAGTAATCATTTTTGAAAAAAATGTTTTATACAAAAGTTGTAGGGTTGAAAATGATCTATTGACTGACCTTATTAATTTGACCTTGGATGGTGCCACTAAAGTCAATTCAAGGTCAAATCAATTTTTTGAAACGAAATACCCTATTTTTTATTTTATAATCTAATAGCTGAGGTCGGGAACTTTCCAAAACACTATAACAAAGCCTCTTTTTAATCAGTACTTTTCAAGTTATGAGAATTGAAAGTTACGGAACCACCGGCATTAGCATTATCTAAGGTATTACGTAGAGATTGCTCGACTGGATTTATGAGTCATGTAATGTGCCCGCGAATGTCTACTCCTTTCTATCTCCTCTCCCTCCTTCTCACTTTTTCAACAAAGCTGGAGACTACATAAGCTAGAGATCTCTCCTGTCAAGTTCACTCCTTCTGTGACCTGCGATTGAGAAGGTATACTTTTTCGTGATACTCCGTTCTGAAATTGCTTATCGCCACATAGTTATCTTGTTTAAAGTATTTATTTAAAATACTTTATAATGGTTACTGAACAGGAGCATATATCTCTTTTAATGATGCGAGGATGAGGTGATAGTAGGAGGTCTTACGCACAGAACTTTTCAATCAAACTTTTAGGAATGAGGACAATGGTTTATCTAAATCGACTGTTATTCGTACTGTACAACGTTTTGAAGAAATGGGTTTTGTAAAAAACCGTAATAGACAAGGTAGATCAGCAATAGCGACAAATCTTGATAAAAGATTGAATGTTCTACAGTCTTTTATCGAAGATCCGCGTAATTCAATTCGCAAAGTTGCACAACAACACGACATCGATCCTATGTCAGTTCATAAAATTCTAAAAAAGGAGAAATTTCATCCATATAAGATCTATCTGGCGTAAGAACTATGTGAAGATGATTTTGATCGTTGCATTGAATTTTGCGAAAGTATGATGTTAAATATCGATAGAAATCTTTTATTTGTAGTCAACATAATTTTTTCAGATGAAACTACTTTTGAGCTCACCGGGAATGTAAATTGACATAATTGCAAATATTGGAACAATGAAAATCCTCATTAGATGTACGAGGCACATACTCAGAATCAGCAAAAGTCAATGTATGGGCTGGAATTTTAAATGAAGCCATTATTGGGCCTTTCTTTATTGAAGGTAATTTAAACGCTAACAATTACTTAGCCATGCTTAAAGATAAAATAGTTCCGGCAATTCGAAACATCGCTCGTCAAAACTTCAATGACATTTGGTTTCAACAAGATGGGGCGCCACCTCATTACGGTTTACGAGTACGCCAATATCTGAATGAAATTTTTCCGAATAGGTGGATAGGAAGAAGAGGTTACATTGAATTGCCAGCACAATCGTCTCATTTAAATCCACTCGACTATTTTTTGTGGAATTTAAAGAGAAAAATTTATAATACTAAACCTCGAAATCCAATTTGAGTATTTGCTATAACATGTAATATTCTTTTAATCCTAGCTCGCCATACTGGGATATGACGTATCTAATGCGATTTTTCACATTGCAATTCAGACTTTAACTTTTTATGCTGTAATTTAAGAATAAAATATTTTTTGTTTCATCTTTGTTTATTTGTTCTTGTCTTACTCTAGAGATATCAATTTTGCATGTGATAAGTTTTCTATTCAGAGATATAACTCGACGAAGTTCCAGATCCCGGTGGGGTCTAGCCGAGAAAGTAACTAAAAATTGATAGGCAAGTTGGGTTAAAGGAATGACAAATGTTCAAACGAATGACAGTTGCTTTAGATAAACCATTGTCTTTATTTCTAAAAGATTGATTGAAAAGTCGCTTGCGTAAGACCTCCTATGAACATCCTCACATCATTAAAAGGGATACGAGCACCTTAGCTTAGGTAATGCTAATGCCGCGGCGGTTTCGTAACTTTCAACTCTCATAACTTGAAAAGTGATTAAAAGAAGCTTTATTATAGTGTTTTGGAAAGCTACCGATCTCAGCTAATAGATTCTAAAATAAAAAATAGGGTGTTTCGTTTTAAAAAACTTGATTTGACTTTGACTTAACCTTGGTGGCGCCAACCAAGGTCAAATTGATGAGGTCAGTCAATAGATCATTTTCAACCCTACAACTTTTGTATAAAATATTTTTTTCACAAATGATTACTTTTCAAGATATTTAAGGGGTCCGGGATTTTTCTACACCCTGTATATAAAAGTCTGTGGTGAGAACAAATCTGAGTGTTCGTTCTCTCTCTAACAGAAGAAAGTGGGGGAAAACGTTAGTGGGGATACAACTATAGACATACGAGGGCAAATCAAAAAGTATCCGTGTTAGTAATGAAGACGCAAGGTTTTCACAAAACTTTTTTTTATTTTTCAACGTAATCCCCTTTTAGGAGGATACACTTTTCCCAACGTTTCTGCCATTTTTTTAACCCCTCCGAAAAATACGATTTGTCGAAATAGGCCTCTGTTTCGGCAATGACCTCGTTCGACATGAATCATTTTCCATCGAGCCATTTTTTCAAGTTGGAAACAAGAAGAAATCGCAGGGGGCCAAATCCGGAGAGTATGGTGGATGCGACAGCAATTCGTACCGCAATTCGACCAATTTGGCTGTGGCAATTGTGGAGGAGTGAGCCGGTGCATTGTTCTGATGGAACAACACTTTTTTTCGCCAAATGGGGGCGTTTTTTCTTCAATTCAACATCGAATCAGCCCAATAAGTCAGCATAGTACTGCCCCGTGATAGTTTTGCTTTTCCCCATGTAGTCGATGAAGATTACGTCTTGCGCATTTCAAAAAACAGTGGCCATCACTTTTCCGGGACCGTCTTGGCCTTTTTCGGAGCACGTTCGCCGGGTGAAATTTACTGTTTTGTCTATACCTTGGTCTCCGGTGTGTAGTAATGAATCCATGTTTCATCAACGGTTACTACTCGACGCAAAAACTCCTTCGGATTGCGCTTGAACAGCTCCAAACATTGCTTTGAAATTGATAGCCGCATTCGCTTGTTGTCCACCGTGAGCAATCGCGGCACCTATCGGGCCGACAGCTTTTTCATTCCTAAATTATCATGCAAAATATTGAATGCCGTTCCATACGACACACCTATGGCCTCTGCTACTTCACGCACTTTCGTTCGGTCAGCGAGAATCATGTTGTGGACTTTTTCAACGATTTCCTCAGTAACCACGTCTGCCGGGTGGCCTGGGCGCTCCTCATCAAAAACAGACGAACGACCACGTTTGAATTCGTTGAACCAATATCTGACGGTTGTCATAGATGGTGAAGGGTTCCCATAGACGGCATCCAACTTCGTTTTTATTTCTTCGCATGTTTTTCCATCCAAAAATAAAAAGCGAATCACGGATCGATATTGTTCTTTTTCCATTGTATCGGAAAACATCAAACACTCTCACTACGAATTGCTGTCAAATCAAGACTATTGCATGAATCACTCTGAAATTTTGTATGGCGTCATTTGAAAGATGTTAGTACACGATGGTAATGCCAACTTGCGTCAGCAACGTCACCTGTCTTCAAACACGGGTGTACTTATTGATTTGCCCTCGTATATAGGGATAGCCCGGATCTACAATAGGTTTTTAAGTTTTAAGAAATAGACGAATCACAGTCGCTTATTCTCCTCGTATTCGACTGTAATTGGTCAATTTCCTACAGCTTAAAGCTTAAAATACCTATTGTATTGCTTAATACAGCTATGTATATCTGTTTTCTAAAAATATATTTATTCATTTGATATTTTCGATATTTTTGAGTCGAGAATATTGATCTTGGAAAGACAATATTGTCTCGTATCAAAATTTATTAAATCAATATTATCTTGATTTTTTTGAGCCTATTGAAGCCATAAAATAAAATTCGTAGAACGAGTTGCAGGCCATACCGGAAAATGTTTATAAGAAGTGTTTCGACGATTGGATTATTCGTTGGCATAAGTGTATTGCATCAAATGGGACCTATTTTGAAGGCGACAAAATGAATTTGGATGATTAAACCGATCTTTTGTGTTTTATTGAACAATTCCCGGTAATTATTTGACAGAATGTAGCTCCTAATTCTGAGCTATAATTTTTTTTATTTTGGCGTGGTGAATGGACTAACTGGACAAGGGCTTTGACAAATATTTATCAGAAACGTTTTGTCAAAATTATACAGTTGATTGTAGTTTCTTATTTTTTGAGGATAAGATCTAAATTTCATGCATAGTGTATTATTAGACTTACAAGTTTTAATAAAAATATAAAGTTAATATTTTATAACAGAAATACCAAGTCGAGCGAATTGCAGGTTTACAAAAGGATGAAAACATAATTGTGCAGTTCCAACTATTGCATCTTCGCATTTGCCTGACATGATACAATCATAACCAATGGCCATAGCATAAAAAGTAGAACTGCATGCTGTATCGACGGTATAAGATGGTCCTTTTAGGTCGAAGTAATGTGAAATCATATTTGCCATTATAGATTTAGATCCCAAAATATTCTGTCGCTAATTGCAGAAAAATATGCTATTGCAATTTTCTCACATGAACAATTAAATCGGTAACCTTTTTCTACTATTTTTTATGAATGAAATGTATATATAGTATATATATAATATATATATATATATACTACTCAACAAAATTAAAGAATCACTTGTTCCATCCTATAAAAATAGGCAAATTTCAAGATAGAATAACTTCGTCAAAAGTCGTCGTATCGAAATGTTTAAAAAAGCATTTTAAAGCTTGAAACATCTACTTTTCAGATCGGTATTTAAAAAAACGATCTTATTGATATTTTGTGAAGTTACATAAACATAAATGAAGACTCATTAGATATCAAAATTTTTTACGAAATTTGCGAAGTGCTACGGCGCGAATTAAAAATTGCGCACAAATACGGTTTACAGCTTTCGAAAGAGTAAATCTTTACCTTCAATTTGTTTTTTACGAAGCTTCGTACGATTTTTTTT